CAAATTGGAAAAGCTTGCAGTACAAACAAAGTATCAACAGAGGCTTCGTGAAAACCTTACTCCCTCTTCTATGGATGCTTACCGGCACTGGTTAGGCTTGCAAAATGCCGCGCTATTCGTAGGTTTGTCTAGCTGCGGCTTCGTCCGCTGCACAGTTCAAAGCTGGATCCCGACAACTTCTATATTGTCGACGCACTTTGCCCGCCCGCACGGAACACAGCGAGATCCGTCAGTATTTATCTACAACTGAAAGCAAGCCTTCGCTCTGACCGTGAATCCTGGTGGTCTAGGCGTGCTGCTGAGATGGAGGCCGTTGCATCGGTTGGAAACTGTCGCAGTTTGTTTCGCCTCATCAAGGCCACCGGTTGCAATTCACACGCCATCAGTCCGACAATCGGTGACCTAGACGGCGTAAAAACCACCAACCTGCAGAAGCGATTGGAGCGCTGCGCAGAGCACTTTGCTTTCCATTCTAACTACCCAGCAAATCCCTCTGTGATATCTCCATCTTCATCGGATGGTGCTTAGCTTGTCTCGACTGACCCACCAACCGAAGTAGAGATCTGTAGCGCAATCCGAGTTTTAAATAGGCATAAAGCTATCGTCCCCGACAGCCTTGCATTGGCTTTTTCCAAAGATGGCGAAGATGTACTTTTCAACGAATTGTCCTCGCTTTTTATGAGGATTTGGACTGAGGAGGTCCACAACTCATGGGGAGATTCAATCGTTGCCCAGCTTCACAAGAAAGGCCCCTGCGATGATTGCGCTAATTACCGCGGAATCTCACTGATCTCAGCTGCTTCCAGGATTTTTGTGCCCATCTCACTACGCAGGCTTCCCTCCGTCAGAGCAAGTTTTTCACGAAAAGAACAAGCCGGTTAGGGCGTTGTATGGAAAAAAACAAGGATGATGCAGGCTGTTGGAACAGATATTGGACATATATCCAATGTATAAAAAGAAGCCGACCAAGGAACTGACTCTTATTCTCGAGACGAACTCGTCATACAGGAAGGTTGTTATCTACAGACTACCGGATGCTCACGTAATGCAGCGTTCTATGTTGGAACGTTAAGACGTTGGGAAATAACAACGATGTGTCAAGGATCTGTAGACTGGCATTCTGCTAAGAATGACCAGGTAGGAAATTGGATACGAAAATTTTTGGCATATTGAATAGACCTGCATTAGCCAAAAGCGCCCACGTTGATATGTGAAGTCCCTGGAAAAGACGTGCCAAGAAGCAGTTCTAGAAGTTTTTACCTAAGAGCATAAGCTGTTTGTACGGTCGAACAAGTCACGGTGCCAAGATATCTGACAAGCAAAATAAAAAGTGTTTTCAGACAAGGACTCCAGTGCAGCAGTGCGGAATTCTGTGTTTACAGACAAAAATGGATTTTTCGTCATTGGCTTACTTATCAGTAGCATAGATGATCATACAGAGAAGTTGATTCAGCAGCAAAAGCGGCTAGCAGATTGATTAGCAGAGGAAAACAGCAGCACGAGGACCTGTACATTGTTATGAAACGATGAAATGTCATCCATAAAACAGGGACAAACTCAGTCCAGCTTGTGTTCGGTAAACAGCAAGAAAGCTGTTAACAACAAGTCTGTCGTGTCTTTCGGAACCAAACCTGTCCACTGCAACGTTCGCAACTTGCATGGCAGTGGAGGATAAGAATACTGAATACTGTTCCGAAGCAGCGAGTAGAGTTTTCTCTGTGTAGCTGCATCATTCGTCGCTCTTGGACATATACTCCTTATTTATCGTTCCGCTCTCTAAATTTTGCCTCTTCAAAGTCTTTGTCTAGGAACTTCTTAAATTCCGACACTGAGTTCGCCTCTACTATGTGCTGCGGCAGGTCGTTCCAGATATTCACCAATATGCGTTCGAAACAGAGTTGATGAGCGACCCGGTACAATAAGTTTATATCAGTGTCCTCTCGTGCAGCTTGGTGTGCGCAGATGAAGCAGTTGTCTCAACATGGGGTAATCACTCAAATGTAATATCCGGTGCGTCATGATGAGGTCAACCCTCAGCCGACGACAAGCTAGGGTCTACAGCCCTAGTTTCTTACATCGGTCTTCGTATGGCATACCTCGTAAGTTGGGAATCAGCCTGGTGGCTACATGCTGCACCCGTTCAAGCTTTTCTACCTCGCCCAGGGTGATGGGACAATACGCGGGAGATCCGTACTCTAGCATTGGTCGTATTATCGAGACGAAAAGGCGAGTAGAAATCACTTCGGACCAAGTTCTGAAGCTGCGCCTGAGCGCCCGAAGCATCCGAAGGCTATTTTGGTACAGCCTATTCGTGTTGTCAATGGACTTTAGGTCGCAGCGTGAGAGTACACCGTGGTCGCGCCCGAAAGGCGCGGGATGCAACGGTTGACCGGCCACTGTGTAGGTTCGGCTGTGCTCACACTTACCCAACTTCATAAATTGCGACTTGGCAGGGTTGATTGGAAGGTTAACCTCTGCAGACCATGTTAAGAGGCGGTCGAGGTGCTGCTGAAGTAAATCACAATCATTGAGTGTGCGGATTACTCTCCGCACCTTCAGGTCATCTGCGAACAATGCACAAGGTAATTGGAGTAGCTGAGGCACATCGTTGACATGGATCAGAAACAATATCGGCCCCAGTACAGTACCTTGGGGCACGCCGCTGCTCGATGGATACCAGTCAGTTAGATGGTTGTCCACCTTGACCCTCCACTTTCGATCAACAAGGAAATTTCGGATCCATTTGTGCAGCGAACCACCAACACCGCACATCCTCAGTCTGTCAAGCAGCACTGCATGGTTAACCTTGTCAAAAGCCCTACTGAAGTCAATGTAAATGACATCAACCGATTGGCCTTGGTTCAGCGCTTGTAACCATTCGTGCCTCATCAACAGCAGGTTGGTGATGCACGAGCGACCTTTCATGAAACCATGCTGTGCGGAGGTCAACAGGTTTTTCGACTCGAGAAGCTGCAGAAGGCTCTTCTTCACGATCTTCTCGAGTGTCTTTGCCAAAACAGCAGTCAGACAGATCGGTCGGTAGTTATCCACTTTGCTTGGGTTACCACCTTTCGGTATGGGCTTTACGACTGAGCATTTCCAGTTGTCCGGTAACAGTCCAGTTCAGTTACAGAAGGCGAGATGATGGCCAATAGGGACTTGAGGATCAGTGGGTGTATACCATCTGGCGCGTTATATCGCAGTTAGCTTGTAAGTCATGACCGCCCGGCGCTATCCGCCGTGGCGCACTGGCATACGCTGCTGCCTGGCGGTGACAAACATTACCTTCTGGCGTTTTTAGGGACACTTTTTAAAATATGAGTTGAAGTATTGAGTTAACGCACTATTTGATTGGACTTTCAGAAAAGACACTAACAATTGTTATCCTGGAAGTATTTTGGCCAATCCAAGTTTATCTCGGTCAAATCAATGTCTAAAGCATGATTTAAGTGTCCTTAGAAATGGACGACAGCAGAAAATGGGTCAAGCCTCTGGTGGTTATGGGTTCGGATATTGATGGAGCGCGTTGCTGACGAGGCCCAACAGGTCGAAACTACAGTCTAGTGCTTTTCCGGGCAAGTGAAGGATTAGCTCATTTGGAAGTTGCTGCGATGAACTCAACAAAATACATCAAAAATGTCCTACTCACGAGTAGATAAGTTTGGATCGCAGTTCGGAGTGGACACACGATTTGTTATTGGATGTGAAGAAGACGGCAAAAAATTCTGAGTGGATTGAGGTCATAACCGTTCCTAGTGACAGCTGACAAAATTGGTGCGTAAGCACGATGGAATTGAGGAGTTGAAAGAACAATTAAACAGAACCATAGAATGTCCTCATTCACAGTATCATTGCATTGCGCCAGCAGGATACTGTCAGGCTGCCTAGGGCAAGACGAGAGAGCAAGCGAACTCATCATCCTTACTCACTAGATAAGAGTGAGAAACAACTCAGCTAGTGTGCCGCAATAGAAAAGGTACTGTGTACGAAAAGGATGGACATTATTCATTAAAGAATACAACACAAAAATCAAAAACCTTTAGGAGAATATTGTGCATCAGTAATGCGACTGTGGTTAGAGGGAGAAGAGCGAAGAAAAGCACAACACAAACGCTAATGAGGTCGGCTTCCTCGCGATATCAACATATGTATGCAACCAAAGGTGTTTATCGTTCCTGGGGCACTAGCTGGTAGTCGGGAGGCATCAAACGAGGCCAAGTGCAAATTGAAGGTCATCTTTCTTCTTGACCAAATCATCTACTCTTCTTCCATACCCACCAGGGGTCGGGCAAACAACGTACGCCGCGCGAATCGGTGGGCTGGCATGCGCAACACGTGACCCAGCCACCGGATTCTCGTGCGCGATATAGCGGTGATGAGCGGTTCACTCGCTCTTGCTGCACCTAACAGGAGACACCGAACACGCTCAATGCTCAAGCGGTGCTTCCATCAGACATGAGCTAAGATGAGAAGGCAGCGATGGTCAAACGTTGCGAAGTTCTTTATATTCGTCGAGCATAGTTCTCAGACAAAACTACTGGTACAAAGACACGACCACAAGGAAGCGTAAGTCTGACAGTGAGCTATAGGAAGTCAGCTTTAAGGAATAAGCAGTCAACCCCATGCCAACTCAAATCTGGAAAACAAGGAGACTAAATGTGCCTGTCTTCTGACCATGGACTTATTGTAGATGAGTGACTGCGAAGATGCATAAAGCAACCCCAAACACAACACACCGACGCTTCGTTGTCACGCGATCACCACCAGTCGCGTGCGTGCTGGGAATGCTGCGACGTCCCTCGCATCTACACAGATTCAAACCAGGCGATCTCTGGGCAACAAGGCAGAAGATCCATCCCCTCGGCGACCCACCAAAGAGGCAGAATGTGTCAATCACAATGGCAGTGGAAAAATATTCAGAAGGATGCGCGGATAAAATTAGTAAAGTGAGATCGGAAATAAAAAACATGTTGAATCTTCGACAACTGTTATCAACTCACCACGGTGAAAGCAGCAGCCTTACTAGGACACGAAGAGTGACCAGGAATACAGCAAGAGGTGGGAACGCTAGTTCCGGGGTAGTCGTCAGCGCCATAAATCCCGCAACAGTGTATCTGCAAAGATCAATGAAGAGTAGACGGTACAATATTTAAGATACGGGTTTATCAAGCGGGACGTGGGAGGATGAACAATGGCATAGCGGCCAGGTTAAGATCCAGATGAATACTCCGAATAAAATGGGGCCGGAATCCCGTGAAACGGTGCTAGAGACCTGCTTTACTCAGCCAAAAAAAGCTCTCATACGAAAACGACCGCAATTAGTCAACAGCCATCCAGAAGTAAAGAGTTATCATGAGGAAGAACTGTGAAGGCATAACGGTGAGTTTGATGGAACCGATTATGATCCGAAGTGCAATTGTAAATATCTGACTAAATACCGTCCTCGATAAAGCCAACGGTACAGGTCACGTGCCAGACCCATCTAAACTTCATGAAACTGACTGGTACAACGAACTGCAACATTCTGATTGCTAGAAGACAAGGCTGCGAAGAGCATTCTTTTCGACAAATCTCACCAGGCATTTACAATCATAGGATAGAAAGTTAGAAAAGGACTACCTAAAGTACACAAAGCACAGGTTCCTCTGCGTTCAATAATTGTAATGTCAACTTTGCTTTTCACTAGGTTGCGAAATGAATTGTAGAACTGCTCGAATCAGTACGCAACGAGTTTTGCACTCACACTGTGAAAGACATTCGAGTTCGCGAAACAAGTCGGACGCAAAAAAGTAAATGATGAACTGATGCTCTCTTTTGACGTCGAGTCTCTTAACGAACGTTCCGTTGATAGAGACGGTTAGTATAATTTGTGATTACTTGAACAAGAAAAGCATACATGTGGATATCCTGGTGCAGAAACTGAAGGAATTAATCTTACGATGCACCTTAAACAGTCATTTTCTATTTGATGGAGTCTACTACAGCCAGATTGACGGTGTCACAATGGGGTTCGCCCAGGGATCGTTTCTCGCTGACTTTTTCCTCGCTATGCTTGAACATGGACCTATAAAATCTATCGTCTGCTTATTTGATTCGTATTGCCGTTACATGAAATGACAAGTTTAGAGTCTGTGATGCAGACACTGATGTTTCCAGTCTGCTGAATCAGCAAAACACTGGGTACAACCATTGTTGAAGTTTACCAGTGAAATCAAAATACATGGAAAGCTGGCCTTCTTGGACATTTTACTAAGTAGAAAGGAAGACAGTTCCCTAGAGAGTGTGGTTCGGAAAACGACATGTGCCTGTCGGCACGAGTATTTTCTCAGTTTTGTTTCCATGAAGTACAAACGAAAGTTTGTCCAATGCTTTTACTTTCGCGCTACCAAAATTTGCAGCCTAGAGGCATTGAAGGTCGAAAAGAACCGCATACTCAAAACGCTGCAAGAAAACGATTACCAAACCTTGTTCATCCGCAAGCATGCAGTGATTCTTGGTCGTCGTAAAGTGATTACATCTGTTTCCAAATAAGATGTGTTTCTATCAGTTTTATTTAGGGGAGACATTGATTCGATTTACTGAACGAAGAGGCTCAAGTCATTCAAACTGCCTATCCATACGTCATTGCTCAAGCCGCGCTGTTTTCTGCCCAAGGTCTCAAAGACAGACTCCAAGTCCAGCCCGAATCCTGCAATCTATATTAATTTACTTGTACCTGTGGTGTGAGTCACATCGGACATATGACTAGCGTATTGTCTGAACAGATCGCAGAGCACTGTCCAACGGTATTGTAGGAAGGTACTGTTAATTGCATCAAGAGTTCTATCCTAGAATATCTGCTTGAAAGTGGACACCAAATTCATCATCATTATACACGTTAGCTGTAGGGGGAATACACCTCAGCTATTGTGCCGCAATACAAAAAGAAAAGGGGAAAAATACAGTGGCACCCTGGCCTAGTCACCAGTAACGGGTGGACGTCGTTCCGGCTATTGTGCCTAATAAATGAGATCGTGGTTGGAAGGGGAGGGACAAAGAAACTCACAACACAAACTCCACTGAGTTTGTATCCTAGCTATGTCAACAAGTGTATCCAGCCAAACGTGTTCATCGTCCTTCGGTCCCCAACCAGGGAGCCGAAAGCCACTAACCGAGGCCAACTTCGAAGTAGGGGTCTTCATTACTCGTAACCAAGTCATCGCTTGCCCCCCCTCTCCTCTTCTTCCATCCGCCCTCTCAGCGAGCACACAACGCACTTCCCGGGTTGGCAAGCGCAACACGTGGCCAAGCCATTGTAGCCTGGTGCATGAAATAACGATGCCGAGTGGTTCGCTTCTTCTTCCTGTGACATAAATAAGGGGTCGAACACGCTCGTTTCTCACACGGTGTTCGCACCAGATATGAGTCAAACTGCGAAGGCACCGATGATCGATAGACACAAAACTAGGACTGCTGATGCTTTCAAAGTGTGTTATGTCGTACCAAAACGCTGCACCAAGGGGTTTAGAAAAAATTTGTTAGGGACGGTCGAGGCTATTGCGATCAGGCTAATGCAACCTGGGCTGTGCAAACAGAGGGCACTTGTCCAAACGGTCCTTCTGCCCTGGGGTTAACACACTTCTGACAGCTTTCACTTCTCATGCTGACACACGATCGGGTGATGGATGAGTCCCCCAACCAGTTGAAAAGCACGTGCTTTGTTTAGTGGGTATAGTGTGTGTCTATCTCCGCTTACGTGAGACGTAGTAGCTGCTGCCTGAATAGATCGACCAATTTATCAAGTAAGACAGCTCAATGTCTGACTCGTTCTGACTCCACCAATCTCTACCACATTTAAGCAACCTATCCTGTTCGAACTTTCCCTTTTATAATTGTAAACGCCTGAGAAGATTTATCAAAAAGAGTGCACTTAGCAACCTTGGCTTCAAGCAATTCGATGGGTACAAGTTGCGAACATCCTGATTTCCTACAGAGCCAGATGCCTAACTGACTCAGAGACAATGCTGTTCACTAATCGAAATCCCGAGAAAATATGACATTGTTCCGGAAACAAGCATTTATCTCCAGGCCTCGAGATGGCACTGATAATTGCATAAAATTCAAAACGAAGTGGCGCTTTTTCCGGGAGCAAAATCTCCCGGGAAAACACATTATTTCAACGGGAAAATGAGTTGAGCAAATGGTGTACAACTGAAACATCAAGTCATTTCAAGAACGCTCGTGTCCACACGACGCGCGTACTTATCTTCATACTGGTTAGCGGAGCCGATCAGGACGGCTGATCAAGCTGTTCTGACGCGCGCTTTCCTCTGTTAACTTATAAATGTCCGTTGATTTAACACTACTTGTTTCCGTTTCAGTAGCAGTTTCTACAACACGCTTTTGCTCCCAAGCGTTGACTTCAGATTGCGGCAGATTCGGAGCTGGCAGAGAAGGAGTTCAGTTCGATCGGAATCGCATGTCGTGACGTAGATGTAAAAAAGGTGAAGAAAACTGGTAGTGCGATGATCTCCCCTGCAGAACACTTACAATTGCTACTATGACAACAGCAAGCACAAACAGAGGCGAAAATGAGGCTGATCGAAACTGACGCAGCGATTCAGTCTGCGGAAACAGATTCGCGGGACACGCATGCAAGTTCTGTTGATATGCTCACCAATTTCAGGAACGAATTCAATTATGACGCAGATTCTAGAAGCACTTTCGACGTGCAGTTCAGATGCTGGGAGGATATGCTGGGGACGAATTTCAGCCATCAGAATGACTCCCGGAAAGTGTGACTGCTGTTCTGCAAACTTGGCACAAATGAACCGTCAAGATTAACGTAAGGTGTCAACTATACGGCGTAACGGCGCTTCGCCACCGAGCGACCACTGCCAGTCATGCGTGGGCTGAGTGTACCGCGAAGACATCCGCTCTTACGCGGATTCGAACCGGCAAGCCAGGTGTGCAGATCACCCGGCCACCGGCCGAAATAATGTCAAAACAGCCGAAATATCATAGATTTGATGGAGCGGTGTCACAACTAAGCGAGATTTTTGGTGAGCCGTCATCACTATCCAGATTCGTTATTAGTGTCTGAAAACTGTCAAGCCGGACACAGACAACTATGGGGCGATGACAGACAGTCAACTGTGAGCGTGAACGCTTCAAATTGCGCTCTCTGACAGATGACCAATTCAAGTGTCTCATATTTATTAGTGCGCTACAGTCTCCGAAGGAAGCCGAGATCAGCGCAAGACAATTCCCAAGGTTGAATCATGACCCAAACACGACGCTGAAAACTCCATACAGCCGAATGCAAGCGATTGTTGGCTGACAAATGACTGCCATATCCGAGAAAAACTCACTCGCACAGCCGCGAAATGTTCATGCTGTGGCAGATTCCGCTCAGAAGTCACAAAACGGACTGCTTACTGGTGAGTGGCATTTCGCCCGATTCTACTCATTCAGGAAGCACATTTGCAAAAAGTGCCACAAGGAAGAACTCTGTAACCACTCGAGCGCCAAACAGGAAATCGTGCCGTTACATGAAGGTCAAAATACTGGTGCAGATTCTCTGTCAGTGGTTGCCGCTTTCCAGAGTGAGTTCAAAATCCGCAAATGGTTTATCACCATATTTACCAACGGGATTCACTCGAAGCTGCAGTTTGAGAAAAATTCTGAGAAAACCATTATTTCCAAGAGGACATGGGACCACTTCAAGAGACCGAGGGTCGCTGGTTCGGACATGGTGGCTCACGCGTCTGGCGGAGTGCTAAATGTGATTGGAGAAATGACCTGCAAAATCACGTCTAACGGAGTGGAACATGCTACCCGAAGGACAGACCGAGGCTTAACGTATTTGGAATCGACTGATGTCCCACTGAACCAGATCTGTAACCGGTATACGATAAATCTGCAGTGACCTCGACAGAAGCGATGAGAAACAGGAAGAACAACCCACCCCATGCCCTTTAACTTGCACATGAGCTCGCATACGGTGAAGCGAACCGAAAAATGGTGTAGTGATTCAATCGACAGCACGGATTAAATCAAAGCTCATTCAAGCCAGGAGATTCAGCGCTCGTACGCGACTAACAGAAAGGCTATGCAGCACAGGATCCAGATGAGATCAAATGTAAACGTGGAAATGTCCTTTATGATGTGCTTACCGGATCGCAAATCTGGGTCCACCATGCAGATCAGCAAAGCCGAATGCTGTGCCGGCCAGAAACGAAGCCAGCCGAGCTGCCTTTCGACCTCCCTGTGTATCATTTTAACCTACCGAAACCAAAGATGGAGGGTCACAGTCGACCAAATGATGCATCCGATAGTCCAGAGCCAACTCAAAGGCACTTAAACACAGGCGACGGACGGATAGACGATGGACAAAGTCTTCAAAGCTGTAAGTCAATCTAAGGTTACCATACTACACCACAGCCGCAATCTCAAGAGAGAAGAAGTCCAGAAGAGTAAAATCTCCCGGGAAAACTGATCATTTCAATGGGAAGATGAATTGAACAAATGGCGTACAATTGGGGCATCTATACCATTTCTGAGTTAAGTTAGCCCATACAGACAACAAATTGAGCTCCCTTGATATCAAGTTCCTCTGTTCTTCTAACATGTTGCTCCGTCCGATGAACCAAGTTGAGTCAGGCGACAGTGAGATGCGCGAACCGTCGTGCAGCCCTCTTGTTAGTCAAGAGACGCCGTCCGATAGAATATCGGATGAATAGACACAGTGCACGTATGTATGGGGCACGGGGATGTGAGTGATTCACTTCAACCCAAAGTTGCTCGTGTGCGACTTGTCACATGGACGGTGACGGATTAGATGACAGGAGGATAGGGGTAATGACTTGTTAATGTCCGAGGTCACCAACGGTGGACTAAGATGAAAGTGGGTCAGTGTATGCTAACGAATTTGGGCGTGACCCACAGCCCCGTTATAACGGAGCCTGTCGTGGAATAGGGTCACTGGCTACCTGCATTCTGACACGGCCGACAATCGATGTTCCTAAGCCAAACTCCCAGGCGCTTGTCCGTACGTTCTATCGCGAACTGTGTACACATAATGTGCACGGGGCAACAGGCACAATACGAGGGGCGCATTGAAGCGCGGGGGGGGGGGTCGCAGCTTACTTCGAGCAAACCACTAAATCGCATGTGCACCGGTAGACATAGGCACCTTCACTGATGCGATGACCGCAGCGCAGGAAGGTTTCTGATGTCATGCGATTGCGGTGGGCGGCGTATCAACATGTGGAATACGAATGTAGTGCAGTTGAAATATGGGTGATCTTAGTGCTTGCTCCACGGCTAGCACGCAATGTGTTTCAAAGCAGCGTGTGACAGGTGCACTGAATACTGATTTAGTAGGGGCAATGAAGTGAATGCTCACCGAGTCCCACAGGTTGGCAGGATGTGGACCACAGAAGCCAAAGATAAAATGACACTACAGTTAGGCGCATACTAATGCTACGGTGATAACATGATGTAGGGGTAGAGGAGTAGTGATGCAAGACGAGGTGGAGAACAGATGTCTACGCAGAGAGCGGCTTACCGGCTCGTTATACGCTGTTGTGCGCTTCTTCAGGTTGCGGATCGAGAAATGCCTTATTATTGGAAGTAAGTGTGAATGAGTCTCGTTTGATTCGCAGGTGAGATTAACAAGCAATCGCAGAAAATCAGCGCAGCGCCTTAGAGCGTAGGGAGTTCGAGTCTGGCCATCTGGTTATGCATTAAATAGCACAAGAGATCGCACAACAATGCGACAAAGCCAAAGTTTCAGGCCAGTGACCGCCCACTTTTAAACCGAGATTGTGTACCTAACGGAGAGTGGATGAACAACCTCGATAACCACTCGCTTCTGAGTGGACGGCCATCGAAAGACATATGAGCCACCTGGCTGTCGACTGTTTTCGTATTCAGTAACGAGCCGGATGTCTTAGAAAACATTTCCTGGCCCCTGTACTACGATACTCATACTGTTCGGGCGCGTTGAGCAGTTTGTTGCTATTAGAAATCCATGTTAACGGCTCCCCAAGGTTCACGATATATGTTAATCCACTCATGGCTTTGGGGGTAAGGTCGTTAAGAACTAAGGCGCCGGCTCGGATTAACTAAGTCAACCTTCTTCACCTACTTAAGTAAAAGAAAACCTCTATGTGCACACAACACATGTAGACGTGAATTTACGTAATTCTAAGAACCTTTACAGAACACATCCGTGCTAAACTTATCGGGAGACGCAGATGAAGAGGACACAGATCAGACAGACGTAGGAATTGTGATTAGGGCGCGCGCAGTAGCAGCGCAACTTGTTTGGATCCCAATTAATAACCAATCATGCACAACCCAGCAAGAAATCTCTATAAGATAGTGCAGCAGTGAGGCAACCAAAAACTGTTAGTTGAAGTAACGGTCAGTGGGGCACACATTTGATCCAGGTTAAAAAGATGTCGTCCAAGAGTAAGTCAGTGTCGCCCAAACGGTGTGAAATATGATATTAACCTGAGCATCGCAAACGTTCCATATACAAATATATATCTATGTTCTACTGCGTGGGTAACGCCGCCTCAGCACCACGTGAACATGGAGTCGGATTTGCACTATCCGATCGCCTATATGGCCAGCTGGTTGGTGAACCAACAGGCATCAGCGCGCGACTGATGACTGTTCGCCTACCACTCGGAAGAAGTACGTTTGCTACTCTTAGAAGCACGTACGGTCCGACCATGTCTTACCCTGATGACACGCGTGATCAATATTACACTCAGTTATCCTCCGTGGTACGGTCTGTGCCGAGGAGCGACCGACTATTTCTACCGGGTGATTTCAACGCGCGCGCTGGGCGCAAAGCACTAGTGTGGACAGATGTCATCGGTCCGCATGACACTGGTTCAGCGAATGCGAACGGTGACAGGCTGCTCTCACTGTGCGCCACTCACGGCATGATGATCACGAACACTGGGTTTGCGGTGAGTGTGAGTGATATAGCAACTTGGACGCACCCACGGAGTGGTCACGCTCACCTGCTCGACTATGTCATCGTACGTCAGCGTGATATGAACGAAGTACGCATGACACGTGTACTGCGTGCAGCTGAGTATGGCACTGATCACAAATTGGTGGGGACCAAACTGTACAAATATTTTCGTAAATCTATGTATTGCACTCCCGCCGTGAATCGGCGTAAACATAACATTCTCTCCTTCGGTACTTGGGCGAAACGTACTGAGCTGGAGAAGGCGATGGCTGCACGCCTGTGTGATGTGGAATGCATAGTCACGGTGGGCGACCCGTGGCACCACATTCGCGACCAGGTCACAGCTGCAGCCGAAGAGACCATCGAGCGCGCAAACTGAAAGCGACCTGATTGGTTTGATGAGAACAATACGACCATTGGCGCAGTGATATCGGCGAAGAACTCAGCATTTGCGGCACGTGTCGCAGACCCCTGTGACTCGGGGAAGAATAGTCAGTATCGCAAACTTCGACAGCGACTGACCCGAGAGCTTCGTCGCATTGAAAATGCATGCTGGATGGAGAAGGCGAAGCAGATGGAATGCCACACCGAACGTAGACAACACAAGGAATTCTTTGACTCCATGAAGGCGGTGTATGGACCGAGATTGAAATCGCTGAGGATGCTGATAAATGGTAACTCAGGCGCTACCTGCACACAGACTGCAGGCGTAATGCAGATCTGGCAAAAACACTTTGACTGTCTCATGAAAAACCGTTCAGTGATTGACTGGCCTACATTGAACGACCTCAAGCAGCACGAGGTGAAGGCAAGTGTGTCGGACACGCCGACAGTGGATGAGAAACAGAGAGCACTTGATCAGCTGCGAAACGGCAAGTATGCCGATGCCGACAGGATACCGTCTGAATTATTGAAACAGAGCGGACCTGCGTTGGTGACTGCCCTGCACCACGTGTGGATTGAGGAAGAGGTGTCTCCAGAGCTGAAGGATGCCCTTGTGGTACCACTGAACAAGGTAAAGGGAAAAAGCAATGCTGCACGAATTTTATATCCATCTTATGTAGCTTTTTATGCTCTTTCTTTTAAGTCGTCTTACGCTCATGAATTTCGTGGGATTAACCTACATTTGTTTTTCATATGTCATATTCCGGCTGAGCCTCCCACTGCAATGTCCTTTTATAAGGATTTTCTCTAAGGGCATTTTATACCTTGCGTACATACAATTATTTTGCTGTTATTGTATACTATATACATTGCTTGTGCTTTTTACAAAGTCTTTTTTACGCATGTTGGTTTGTATTCCTAGAACACTCCAAACTTTTAGCTTTCTCTTGATGAGCCTCCTTTTGATGAACCGACGTTTGATATTGATCGCCCCCAATAGCTTCTCGTCAGTTTAGGCTAAGTTTTGATCAACACTCTACAAAGATTTTGCCGGCCTATCTGACCTATAGTGTTATTGACTGATGCCACATTGACCCCGCATGCCTGGTTTTCATCTTAATTGGGCGAAGTTTCGCCAACGCTTTACAATCGTCATGGGTCTCACGTTGTTAGAGGGGCTTTTATTTTTTGATGTTTTAGAGATGTTGCTGATAAATTGTGATTGAAGTAGGGGTATTTTTCTGGGCTTTCAAGTGTTGTCCACCTACCTTGGTATTTTTCGGGAGTATTCTGGCAATCGCTATTTTTTATTTGTCAGTTTTTGTCGTTTTACGCATGCTGCGAACAATATTTGACCTGACCGACTAGCTAGAGAATTTTTATGCTCGTGTTTAGATCTCAAACATATTTTACTTGGGATAATTCGGGCATTCTATAAATTCTTCCATTATCCTTCTCGCCTACACCATTTCCAATTCCCCTATTCTGCTTTAGCTTTTATTCCTATTTTTCACTTATTGTGGCCTGAGCCCTATGGATAGCCTCTTTTAGTCGACTGCGGATTCATGCACCGTGCACATATTCACTCACACATCTCAAATATGAATTCCCCATCACTGCAC